TATTCAATAAATAAATTTCAGAAAACAACCACAATGTTGTTCAGATACTAAATAGATAATAAATAATACAAGGTATTATGAAAACAACTATGGTACCACAACACGTAGAAACTATATAGAAAAGATAATTTACTATTTAAAACTGACAAGGCATTAAACCCGGGAGCTTAGAAATAGTGGCACCTTGAAGCAGACTATGCGAGCCTCTCTGGCATAAATGTTAGTCATACCATTATTTTTTTATTAACTTAAATCTATATAGCGTTCTTTTATATTTATAAAATGTTTCATATAAAATCTTTTATGTTTCAGTGGCGCTTATAATGTAATGATACCAGCTTATGTATGTCACAACTGCTGGACTACTTTCACTAGATAGAGAGCGGATCATAACTGTGACAATGCGGGCTCTGGAACGGCTACAGACGAAGGTGCCTTTCAAAACACGGAAGAGCTGGAGTTGAGGCTTTTCTGTACGTCAGTTTAAGTTCCCGTACAAATAGGCATTGAGAGTAAGGAAATTTTAATCACATTAAAAAAGTACATGTAATAAAAAAATCTTATATCAAAACGTATATAAATATATTAAAAGTATATATATATATGTTTATATATTTTAAAACTCGGTAATTACATAAAACCTCGCCTTAAAGAATCAGTCAACCATCCCATGACTGGCCTAAGCGAAAGTTGTTTAACATCCGCAACCGAATTAAATTAACTTATACTGCAAACTATTAGGTAAAATCACTAGTTCACGAAACACGAAATTTTCACCTGCACAAAGATTCACCGATCAATCACAAAAAAGGTTCTAATTTGGTGCGTGACTCAGGTTTATATTATACCACGCTCGGATATACGAACGAAAACATATTATATATCAATAGAGCAAACAGAACAACAGAAAAGCAATTTTCTGTGCAAAAACACGTCAATCACTAGATTATAACCGGCGAGCTAATGAACGGGGGATAAAAACCGATTGCCCGCTGTCCAATGTTTGACTGTTAATTCCCAAAGGGAAATATACCAAACGATTAACCAAAATTTATAATTATAATCAAACAAATAAGCTATTAGTACAATTAAGTTGTACGTATATTATGATTTCTGTCGAGGACAGTAGATATGGTTAGCAGCTATCTCTGCATTGCACGACCTCGGAGAGTCTCTCGATGTACCCATCCTCTCCTTCCGTGAGGACTAAAGATCCCGAAAGAGGGGTGACCGTCCTGGTGACTCGTTTACGGCTTCCCGGGTCTCATCCCCAGGGGAGGGTACACCGTAGGAGTTTTTGTGTGTATGTAGGTGCGCCTTCGAGAGCCCACAGTGCGGCTAGCCAAGGGGTTCACGTAAGAGAGTCCCACACACCCCTGTCACTTGCCAGGCGGCAGGGGTAGTGCCTAATGTATTTCCTCGACGTAAAAAAATAAAATAAAAAAACGCGCGTAGTCTTGTATTATACATAAAATCCTTCCTTTTGAATCTCCCAATCTATGAAAAAAAACCGCATCCGTTGCTTAGTTTTAAAAATTTAAGCATAATATTATGATTATAGGATATAGGGACAGAGAAAGCGACTTTATTTTATACTATATAGTGATAACTATTCCGTTTTCCCGCGACTTCGCTCGCGTTAATACTCTTATGCCACCTTATAGGTGTACCTAGCAAGATATTTTGTATAATTCAAAAACTCAATCGATCTCTTTAAAAAGTAGTGATTACACAAAAACCTCAAATCATTCGTCCAAGAACTATTTGTTGACTCATAAAGTGAAGAATGGGAACAAAAAATAGTAGAAGTATTCTGCGTTAATGCACGTCAATCATTCGTTTGGCTATTGAGGTGAAAGAAATCTTTAAATAGAATCTTTAAAAGACTAGCAATTTTTAGAGATTAGAGCTGTACCATTAGGATGCCATGTCAACACCTCTGCTGGGATATCGAATAAAGCGGGTCAAATTATATTACAACTAGCGTTTTACCCGCGATTTCGCCCGTGCCCATGTCACTCGTGTATCCGCGATTTCGACCGTGTCTATTATAGACTATGTCACCCGCGTATGATGTAGTTTTCCATAGATGAAAGAATTTTCGTGATCGGATGAGTACAGAACTTTACTAGATATTTTTTGATATATTTAACTCCACCTCACTTGGCGACGGCGCCAACGACTACTTGGTGTTGCCGCCAGTTCAAACGATAATTTCAAGAATATGTAAGCTAATTGGTGATTTTTAAATATATACAATTTGTATTAAAAGTGGCTAGACAAAAAATATTTCCCAAATCGCACATTACGACTTAAAAATATTATCGAAGTTAAAAAGCGTAACAGAAATTAAAAAGCGTTTTCATATACCTCCATACAATTAACTTTTTTTGTTATTTATAATCACAATGTGAAATTTCACGATATCATCACATAAAGAATAATAACAGATCTATTAAAATCATCGCTGTTTCATACAGCAGCCAGCCACAAGACCAGTCATCATGATAACGTATGCCCTTTTGGCAACGGCCTTGGCGACCAGTTTTATCTTTACATTAACTTCTGTGTATCACACAGAAGTTAATGTAACTACCGAAACTGGTCAAGTCATAGTATCCATAAAGATGACCTGATAAAGAAAAGTATTAATCCAGCCCCGGATTTATGATTTTTTTCCGACCGGAGCAGAAACTTCCTATTTAGTATTATATATGTTAATAGGACGTATTATAATAATAGTTTTATTTGGTTAAAGATATGCTGTCCATGTTGGTATGAAAATATTTTCTATTATTAATAATGTTTAATTACAAAGATTTTGTAATAAAATTTTACAAAGATTTTTTTTTTATTATTTCAAATATCTTAACCTAAGTAATATTAAACAAACTGTAGATATACTTATTGAAAAATCGTTCTTTAACCTCTAGGTACAGTAGGATAAGTAACAACATGTTCATAGACATATTTTTGTATATATTAATAGTTTTTAAAAAAAATACGTAAATAATTTACTGTAACCGATACAATAATTAAATTTGTCCACTGACTACAAACTCCTACAGCATGAGAATGCTTTTTTACAAACAATATCCATGTGGTAATAATATTTCCCACTGCTCCATATTTTATCTTTAACAATTTAAGAATCATAACTCCATCAGAGCGTAACATTCAGAATTCGCATCGGTATCAAAGAGAACATGTCAACTAAACGTAATTGGTTACTCCGAAAGTTGGCGCCACTCGGCATCTATTTTTATGAACTTCCGTCCTGCTTCTGTGTCCAAATTCTTTACTGTTCTATTAATAGAAGGATCCCATTAAACAGAGTAAGAATGTGCACCGATAATAGTTAAGCAGCTGTTGGAATCAACGGTTAAATAAATATTAAGACAGAATTAGCTGAACAAGAACTTTATTTATGTTTGAGTCTCATTGAATTCAGACGATAACTACATACGTGACAATATAACCGTTTCATTGTATTTTAGAATATTGTGAGTGTTTAAAATATTTTATATTTCATTTTCTTTTTTGTATTTTGGTTGATTGTGAATGAATAAAGTTATATTATTATTGTGATACCAATTAATGTGTCAAAGTATATACCGTTATTATACATTCATAATATCTTTTTTATCTTAATCTACTAATATAATGAATTCAAAAACTATTTAACGGATTTTGATGAAACAAGGCATTCAGATAATTTTCTAGACTTCTAGATTAACTTATATGCTAATGTTGTATCCCGCTAAACAGTTATTTAGGAATCACGCGGTTGAAGACACTGGTGGAAAGCTAGTTAATAATAAATTCTGCAATGACATTGCTATTCTATTGATTATAATCTTATTATGATAAGTATAAAATAGCTTTGTTTTTTTTATTTTTTATAAAAGAAGATAAGTTTTTATTGCTACACTCAAGTTAATGTTATCGTATGGAATATTAATGAATGTGTAAAAAGAAACGGACACTTTTTACACTCTTAAAATTAGGCTGATTCGTTGAAATATTTCATACTCTCCGAGCGTCCATTTCAAGAATAATATTTCATTCTGCTTTTTGTTTCAAAATTAAGTTTAAAGAAATTAATTTTTCAATTAATATTTAAATAAAATGTATCGTCATAAATGCTAAAAATAAACTTTTAAAATATTATAAATGATATTTATATAATTATAAAAAGTTTTGATAGGTATATCGTGAATATAAATGTTTATTCTATTTTTAGTTTGATTACATTGATATGAATGCGTTTTTAAATCATGAAAATAATGAGTGTTTGAGAATTTAGTCTCTAAGCTCTCGGAATATATCATTTCAGAATTTGTAAATCTAATTATGGTGAATATTTATATATATAAAATGGTAAACAATTTTTATTGACCTATTTGTCCTCCACTGCTGGAGCAGAAGCTTTCCCAATATAATCGAACAGGAAGAATGAGCCACCCGTTTGGGTGTTTTGTTAGTGGTTGCGAAACTTAGTTACCCTGGCGGCAAAAGTATTCTTTGTTAGCAACTGGTTGCTCATAAAAAATCTTCTCCCGCAACTGGTTGCCAAGGAAGAATAAAAATATTCCTATTTCAGAACTGACTACAAAACTGAAGTTGAAAGAGATCGGTGGTTATCGACTACAGATAGACCAGGAACCAGTTTCACTTGCATTTAATAATACGCAGAGCTTGACATGAGATGCTTTGGTCACCATCCTATGATTGGTATCGGAAATCGAACGCACTAACCATTACTTGAACATCGTGCTCCTATCGAATGGGTAACCAAAAATTTACCATCTCGACCTCCTCTGTACTTCAGATAGCACATCAACTCGTTGGTCTCGGCTGCACCTCCAATAGTTAACTTCTACCAATCCGGGCTGGACCAGCGTGGTAAGTTATGACCCGTTTTCCTTATTCGATTTCTTTCATAGAGAAAACATGAGCCCATTAATAAGCCAATGATGATGAATGAATATCAAAATTACCTCTATACGGTACGTAGATGTTTAAATAAAGGCAGTCTTCAGATTCGTTCTTGAGGAATGCCTTAAGCTTTGTCATGTAGTGCTGCCGCTCCAGAATAGGTGGATCCCCCTTCTTAATAAGAGGGAGTGCTTGCGGACATACGGCCCCGAAGTGTGTGGCCATTTTCACACCTGACCATGGTGGGGCACTTACTGTAAAAGTAAAAACAAAACAATGAAACATTATGCGCAGTTCCCATTTTTTATTGAATATGGCACTTACAAATGAACGTAGCCAATAAGTATGTATACGGCAGGCTAATTTTCCTAAAGTTTACGTAATAAATGCATCTTAATAGAATAACAATAATAACATTTAATTACACAACAGTAGCTCGGTGGCGTAGTGGATAAGCGCCGCGGCCCGCGATCGTAGTCGTTAAGCAACTTTCGCAATGGTCGGTCACAGGATGGGTGACCAAAAAAATTATTATCTCGAGCTACTCCATGCTTCGGAAGGCACGTTAAGCCGTTGGTCCCGGCTGCATTTGCAGTCGTTAATACCCTCCAATCCTCATTGGGCCAGCGTGGAGGGTCATGGCCCATCCTCCTCAACCATTCATGAGGAAGGCCTGAGCCCCTGCAGTGGGGACGTAAAAGGGCTGGTAGTGGTACACAACAAATAACATTATAAAAGGATGTACAATAAGATTTGTCCTATTAAGAGTCATTCGTGGGAGACTGGTGCCTGTGTAGGTTCAACCCCGTATTACAAGTCACTAGGTCTCTCCCCATATGAATTAGATAACACGTTTCATTCAATTAATAATACTATAAAACTTAGATAATATCTTAATACCTAGATTGTTGATCTTACCGACCGATCCGACCTAGATTAGAGACCTGTCGACCTCCGTAGCCGAGTGGTTCGTATGCCGGATTCAAGGTGTCGCCATCTCTGAGGTCCGGGGTTCGATTCACGGTCGGATCAATGTAGAATTAACTTTTCTATATTTTTTTTGGGTCAGGGTGTTGTGGTGCCTTCGTTGGCTCAGAAACTCCATAATACGGGGGCTTTAGCTACTCATCTTGGAATCTGAGCAATGTATGTGATGTTGATTAATATTTATTTATTTATTGCATTACTTGAAACAATAATTATGTATCTGTGTACGAAAGTGTCATACTACTTTAGTTTTTTATGACATGATCATTTATTAAGGACATTTACAGAAAGCTTCCAGTTCAACCTATCGTAGAAGAACGGACCGGAGATAGATACCCGAAAAACCTCGTAGCATGAGTCGCATCGATTGGACCACGCGATAATAGAACATCTAAGTTTCTGACTTAGTTCCGAAATACCGTGTTGATTTATCACAATATGAATCATAAAAAACTGCCGGACAGTGAAAACCTCGCTAATTCGATATAAATCCAGTGTAGAATACAGGAGAGATTTAAAATTGTTGACTACTAATATACTCTGGGCACTCTGAAGAATCTTAACTACTTCCACTTTTACTATATACATACAGTTTAATATTGTAAATGTTTATTCTTACACATCAATGGCGACAGATGTATAATAATATTAAACTTCACCTTAAACATTGTTATCTTAAGGTTATAAAATTAATTACTTTAAAAAAAGAAACGAGGTGTTATATCCATACACGTCACTATGGATACTCTATGGCATTAGTCGCCTCCATCTTGTCTCGATTGTCGTCTTAGTTATGTCGCACCAACGTGCCTTGTAATTTACTCGTATATATAATAAACTACGTCAGCAAAAGTCATGTCTTTAAATAAAGAAAGCTCGGTCACCGGCATAAAACATACAATGGCAAAATTCTAGTTGAGATTTTACTTAGATACGATTATTACGTGAAATAATAACAGAATCGATCTGCGTTTATACCGCGTCTCATTAATTTCAATCACCACTCGCCCACGAGTAGCCAAGTAATAGTATTAGATTGTTACAAAAATGAAATTTGGTCGTTGCCACTAATGGTGCTTCACACCACTTTTTATTTCGTCCTAGGTATTCACATGCAAACTTTTTGTCTTTGATCTTCAAAACCGTTTATTTTTATTATTCACTTTTTGTGATTTGAAATTTTGAGTAATCCAATATGCTCTTTATGAAAGTAAGTACGTGAAAATTAGTCGAGTTAGAAACATTATACATACTTAAGCTCACGAGTTTGAACTCAAATAAAATGTTTACTATATCAAATGAAATCTAATAAATAATTAGTGAGTAATTTAACTCACCAAACGCGAAGAAAAGGAGTTTGTAATTGTTCTTTGTAACTACCTATTTTAATAAAAATAATTAGGTAACCGTGTGAACTATTTTTATATTCCTTTTTGTTTGTTACAGTTTTTTTTTTTGTTTACCCTTTATTAAATCAAGATCTCAAGCTTAGTCAGCCTTTTATTAATTTACCTAAGCATCGGACCCGTCATAATACCACTGATAAAAAAATAAGTAAAAGAACAATTCCCAGATTCGCGTTAATACTGTTTTATTTTCACCTTTAGCTATAAACGCAAGGTTTTATTGTTTTTTAATCAAAACTCCCAATAATATTTTAATAGAACTCTCTGAAGAACAAACCCTTTCCAATAAAAAAATAATCAACAGAATCGGTCTGCTACTGACGGAGATAACGTGGAACAAACGTACAAAAAGCCGGCCAAGTGCAAATCAGACTCGCGCAAGAAGAATTCCGTACCATGACCTATTAATAAAAAAAAAATGTTTCGGCTATTTGGTTACATTGCCTGAACATTAATGAAAAAACGCACTGTAGAAGCGAAAAAGCATCAAGTGCTTGAAAAATTCGTCAGTCTGTTAGGTCTTGGTAGCTCAGTGGTCAGAGCAGTCGCCCGCATTGCGAAAGGTCAAGGATTGGAGTCCCATCTCAGAGTGCCAGGGACAAAGTAGATTTTTTAGAATATTTCATTAAGATTATGTATACTTATGCCGAATCATCTACAACTTTCTATTACCAATACTGTTATATCCTTTATTTTTATACTCTATCACAATTCATAAACTATATGTACTCTATGTTTTTGATTATGGTGTATGTTAGACAATGTAAACTGGTATCAGATATAAATAGAGATTCGAAGAAGATTTAGAGATTATATGAAGTAAGTAATGATTTATCAACCCATCAACTGAAGAAAACTTTTTGAGCTGAACTGTAAGGGTTTCTTGTTTACAACGGAATCCTAAAAAATCGGCGTGTCCTAATGTGTCCCTATGTGTGCTCTCGCACGAACCCGTACCAAAATCTATGAAAAATATTGAAAGCAAAGACAGACTAACGGACAGCGGAGACTTAATAACAGGGTCCTGCTTTTTCACCATCTGGGTAAGGAATCCAAAAAAGATAAACATTAAGTGAAACTGAAAACTTCCTCAGTTTTTGATGACAGTTAAAAAACGAACAAAACCAAGTGATCTCGAGCAAACTCATCTCCATTAAAGCATCCGTTCACGAGCATGACATACAAAACATCAGTTACAGGACATTATTTTGATTCATCGTATTTGGATGAATTTTATTTAATAAACTCCATAGCATCAACGTTTGTTTATCGTTTACAAGTTTAGATTGGTTTATACTAACTTTAATGTGTTTATATAAGAAACAGCACGCTGTAATAATATTAGTGAATTAATTTTCGGTTTTATAAACAGTGTGTGGGTTAGGGTTTGGTGGCGGTTAGAGTACCTTTTAAATATTTGTTTAGGCCCAGAACTCGTTATTAGAATAATACGACTTCTCCGTTTAGTGCTATCGTCTGAATGAAGTAATTATTAGGCTTACTGTATTTGATTTTACATTCACAATGCTGTGTTGGTTTTATTGGATATAAAAAGGGATTGCAAAAGTTATAGATTCTAGATCAGTTCGAAGCGCCATAGTATTTAAATTTTAAATACTTAGAAAATATTGACCTACACACATTCAAAACGATTATTAAATCTATTGTTAATGTTATTACATGTAGTAATGTAATGAAGATAATAATGAAAAAAAAAAAACTTACTTGATTGAGTAGTATTATGAAAACAGAGACTTTGAAAGCATTATGAAGGAAAGTATAAATAAGGTCCGTAACGATAGGGGTTTCCGAGTGGCTTTCTCTAGAGAAAAATGGGCCATCATTCAACACAAGCACCCGATGCAAAATGGTAGGTATTTTTAATCGCCTTCAAAAAAAGAAGGTTATCAGTGTGACCTGTATGTATGTTTGTGAAAATGTATTATTCTGTAGAAATGTATTATATTAGAAAAAGGCATAAAGTAAAACTTAAAAAAAAATAAAACCGACTTTAAACTTAAAAAAAAAAGTGAAATATATCACAGATCTCAAAAGTGATTTCTTCAAGAAAATGCTATTGATTTCGGATGCCTTTTATTTAATCAATAACCTGCAGAAAACGCCCGCCCGATTTTAATAGCGTTTTCTTCAAGGCGCGTTTTAGCTTCTGAGACAAGAATTATTATTCACTTTTTTAAGTTCTCTTCACATAAGCCGGCGATGATAATGATAACAAATATTGTATTTTTTATTCAATCGACGAAATTTTGGTAAAGTCTCTAATTCCAATCGTACTGATTGGCCTTAGACATAATGACGCGGTTCTCTTAGTCTCTATTGCTTTCTTTATTTTTACCTATATCAATTGATACTGGAAAGAAAAGAACAAAGAAAGTAATTTATTGATCACATCCATCCACTTACAAATAATGAGAAAGATATCATTATTTTATAAAAAAAAGTGGGATGGCCGATAATTATAGGCAGTGAATTCCACAGTTTAATGGCTGTAATATAATATGACTTCGATACGAAATCAGTTCTATGAGAAGGAATCACTAAGGAAAAGTATTGGGAATATCTCAAATCTCGAAGCATACAAGAAGAATGAAAAACCTATCGTTCTTTAAGATATTGCAGTGTATGTGGATTAAAAAGAATGGAATAAAGACAAGCTATGACAATCCTCTGCAACAGATAGGTAGCCATTGTAGTTAGGCACGATAATCAGGATATAGTCATACCACAGAACAAAGATAAAACGGATGCAAACATTCTTAAGACAATCAAGTTTATTTAGATATATGACACCTAGGTCTGAATAACATAAATCAGCATGGTCAAGCAGTGGGAGAAGTAGGGACTGCGCATTTTTGTCTTAGTTGGCAATCGGCAAAAGATTCCTAAGTCATTTGAGTGAGCTTTATGCACCAAACACTTTCCTATTAAACTCACGAACCTGATGGCTCCAAGATAAATTGCAGTAGAAAAATACACCAAGATTTTTAATGTTGTTTTTGAATTGTATACGATCGCCATCCAAGAATATTTAAGAGAGAGAAAGAATTTAATTAATGAGACAGTGAAAAGAGAGAAAACACCACCCTGCGAAACTGCAGACATTGTATCGTACCGATGTAAGAAACGTTTTCCCACACATATGTACTGGCGTCGCGAATAAAGGTAACCATGAAAGCAATTAATTACCTGTAGAGATACATTGAGAGAAACCAACATTGCTAGTATATAGTCAAAATCCACAGCATTGTACGCATTACCAATGTCTAATATATAGTGAGCTTTATTTTAATTTTCCGTACCCTTGTATATATCACGTGCAATATTGTCAAGTGTAGCAGTCGTGATGAAACAATATTTTGCTTTTTTGGAGCTATTATTGCTTAACTTGCTAAGTCTGAAAAAGTAAGGGATTGAAAATATCTAATAAACATTATTAGAAACGTATATGATGTAAGCAAGCTAAAAACTACTATCAGGCTAGAATCACTAAAGGACGCCTTTCCAGTCAACCTAGAAGTCAGGCAATGTGATCCACTCTCACCGAAACTAAGTTCTTAGCAGTTTCGGAGCAAGAATACAGAAAATGAAAGTGGGACCTATGTCTAAAATAAACGGTTCACGATGAATCCACCAAAGATTCGGCCCTAGCAGATAGAAACAAGTAGTCTTGGAAATGAATCCAAACATGACAAAAATGATGACAACTCAGTAGTTGTAAATAACATCGATCAGAAACTCGATTATGAAAAATAATAAGTATATCTAGGCTAGATAATATCGGCCAGTGACCAAATGACTAAAGAAATAATAAAAGGATTGCCAATGGATGGTAAAAATATTAAGCTTTGAAGGAAATCATGAAAAGCTGAGAACAAGGCATAAAGATAAAGAGAAAGACTTTTACGTTACGTGTCCCCTGTAACAGATATGGCTGCAAAACCTAGGCTTTGAAGAAAAACTTGCAAGATACAAGAGAGCTATGAAGAGGAGTATGTTCCATATTAAACTAAAGGACAAAGTCAGGAGTATAGACATAGGGTGCAAAACAAAACTGACTGAAATCTTAACTTGAATCGATTAACTCAAAGAATCAATTAGAGAAGAGAAATGAAGTAAAAAGGTATCCCAGGGATGATACAGTTAGCCACCTCGCGCTAGCTGTAGTAGTTATAATGCACATTTCCAGCAAATTCAGTGGCCGGATATAAAGAAGCGGACACATTATTTGTAAGAATTAATGCACATCTCCTGCAACTCAACTAGTAACAAAGGTGCGTTACAGCCTCGCAATTTTTTTTTGATTTCCATGAATTATTTATTTATTTCCATATTTTTAAAGTTACAAAAATACATTTACTGTTCCCATCACTAGGCGAAGCCTGACCTGAAGGGAAATTAAACGGTTTACTATGGAACGGAACGGCAAAAACAAAAAAAAAAAGAAAAAACACAGTTTTTGGTAGTAACAAAACTAAGAACTAAATTATTTTATAACAAAACAAGAGTAGGTGTTGTGGATATATTAAGACGTGAGAATGTGTGAGTGTGTGTGTGCGTGTGAAAGTGTGAAAGTGTGTGTGTGTGCATGCGTGTGAGTGTGTGCGCGTGTGAAAGTGTGTGTGTGTGTGTGTGTGTGTGCGCGCGCGTGTGAAAGTGTGTGTGTGTGTGTGTGTGTGTGTGTGTGTGGGTGTGTATCACTATAAAAGTAGTTTATTTAATAACCCTTAGTACAGCTTCAGTTTCCGAGTAATTCCAATGGGTAATCAGATTTGTGGTTGCTATTTTAGCTTCTCTGACCGTGCAGTTTTTGAGATTACAAAGATTTGCAAATTTATTATAAATGAAAGTAAATAAAAAAGATGCCGAAACGGTGTGCAAGAAGAAGTGCCAGTACAAGTCTGAGGCAACCTAAATAAGCGTCTTTTGGAAAGCTCGCCGTAATCGTCAGAGTTTATTACCGAGCTGTGAATATAGTTAATATAGTATAATTAGGTACTATGCTATTTTAGAAAGTACGTAAAATTAAAAAAAAAAATATAGGTAAGTAATATGTAGTTCGGAAAATAATGCATTTGACACCTGCAATTCAGTTATCTATAGATTTTCGCGTGACTTGGCAGTCTAATAGTATCATAAAATACTTCTGAATTATAAACTAACATAGCACTGTAGGGATTATCTTATTTACTATCTTATTTATTTCTGTATTTTACATTCTATTGAAAATATATTACCTGGAGGCATAAACCTCAAACTGCCCACCGGAGGAGCCGCATAAGGTATCCCGAGAAACATTTCGACCAACTGCAAGTCATAATGTCTACTAGGCTTAACAATTAACCCTCTCAGCGCCCCTTGTCTTAAATGATATTCCCTTGTCAGCCTTTTTCCATCATCATTCGGAAAACCTCGAGCATCTCCGTACATTCCCGGTGCACCCTCGTTTGCAATCGGCAACAAGAGCGAGACAACAACACAAATAAACATCTTGTGACTTATAAACGCAGTCGCGTGCCGTTCAGCAGCCATTTTGTATATGTGCTCCTGTGTTCTTGTTTTATTGGCGAACGCTCTCGAAATACTTGCAGTTTAACTGTTTGTTTTCGCTCACCACTACTCTCAGTGAGTCATCGTAGAACTTTTTATGTCCTTGTCTTATCCTTTCTTTGTTATCAAAATAGAATTAAAGTTTACCGCAAAATTATGACCTACTTATATATTATAACATTAATGGCTAAACCGAAAATTATCCACACTATTAACACTGGCACTATAGACAAAACACAAAAGATAGTTTAACTAAAAAGCGCTTAATTTTATTTTTTTTTATCACAAAAACATTACTTTTAATTTAGGGTTTCATATAATGCTATTAGCGGATTTTAAATATCGATCTAGGGTAAAATCGATAGCGTTAGCGCGTTAGTGAGTTGCGCACACGACTGGACCGCATCCAAAATGTCCCCGCGGGATTCTAATACCAAAATACTACGGCGATGACGAGAGCACATAGTATAAGCATTCTACGATAAATCCGTGGCTGTTTCGCATTCCATTCCGTTTAGTTTTTAATTTTCCTCATTCTATGGGTATAAATTTTCGTTCACGTTTCGTACATTAATTATTTTTTATTTGTTTAATAAATCAAAAAAAATTGTTTTAACTTGCATTTGTAGTAAATTGTAAATGAACGAATGGCCAAACATATGAATTCTATCGTCGTCTTTTTCGTTTAGCCCTTTAGTGAGATGATTTCTGGTATGTAAATAACATTTTGTCCTTCCTAGCCTACATCAATACCTACGATATTTTATTAAATCTGGTTCAGCGATTTGAAACCTAAAAGATAAAGGCTTAAGCGGGGCAGACTTCGCAGTATATTAAAGTATATAAAAACATTATACAATAGTAGATACATAATATTGCTCAAATCTTAAGCTGAGTAGCCCATTTTAATATGGCAGTTTGAAACAAAGGAAGAATCTCAATACCCAGATCGGAGACAAAATATAAAAGGTTCACTTGAGTACTAACATAACCGGGAATCAAAGGTGGAATCTATCAAATTGTCATCGTATAATGAGGACGACAATAGACAAATAAAAAAATAAGAGGTTGAAGTGAGAATAGAAGTTAAATTAGTATCTGAAGATACATTCCAAAAACGTATCTCGTGTGAACAGTTGCACGGGGAGTTTTCTCTAACGGCGAGTATCATTATAAGCCGGTGTATTTTCGGCCATCGCCACGTGTCCGCGGTAAACATCCGGACGACTGCCGACGGGTTAGGAAGTACGGATGTGGACAATTTTGATTTGAAGTTTCCGAGAAACTCCTAATGTGCTTAATTATAAGGTTCATTTTATGGAGTAAGCTGATAGAAATCCGGATAACGTGTGATACTTGATTTGCCTACTAGTGGAATTTGAAATAATATAATTCAATAATAACTAAAACCACAGTAAAACTGACCATTTTTCTTTGAATTAGTAATTTCTTTGGATTTTTGAAAAAACGACGCATAAACTACCAACTTTGCAGATTTATTGACTTTATCTGTATTTGGCTTTTAAACAAAATGTACAGGAGTAAGTCGCGGGAAAATAGGTGATATCTCATAATATTCCTAGATTGTATCGTATAATAAAAAATAATCCTCAGATTCAAAAACACAACAAACATTTGAATCTAAGTGATAAGATATACGTATCAAAAACAGTGCCAGAGTTAACAGTGATGAAACTTTCTAAGATTAGTTTTATCAAATCACACAAATAAATAAGTATATAATCTCCAGTTTGACTTGGCAAATCTGCCACTACTGATTGAACACTATACAAAGTAAATATAAATAACAGGTGACAATAGAATTTTGATGACTCGTTACATACGGGTCATCATCAGCCCTTCTACGTCCCCACTGCAGGGGCTCAGGCTTTCCTTATGGATGGCTAAGGAGTATGGGCCATGACCCTCCACGCTGGCCCAATTAGAGGGTACGTACGGGTGTACGGAGGTTATACTTCAAAGAAGGAGGTCTCAGTTTGAATTATCTCGCGATTGGTTGAACCTATTTTGATATTTGGATGATATTTACTTAAATATTTTAATTAAAAGAGGGTTTTTAATATTTGAAACGACATCAAAAGCAGAAGATTCTTAGTTTGACAATTAAAAATGAATGTACAATGTACAATGAATGTACTTTACAAGTAAAAATGAATCTCGTGAATTGTTTTTTCGAAGAGTAGAACCGACAAGAATGAAGATTAAAAACACTACTTACCTTAATTGCGATTCAATTATTCAAGAACCTTCTATTGAAGTTGGGCAATTATAGTTTAATAGCTTAGTTTTAAAGTTGTTTCGTTATATTGAAAAAAAAAAACCTATAAAAATACAAATATTTCAGAACTTTTTTCTGCGCCTCCTTCGGGAACGTTCCATTTAGATTGAATTTTACTTACCTTTAAATTGAAGCTACTGCGTAAGATTTTGTACCTGAAGTAAAATCTATAAAAACGGCAAAATAATCTTGTTTGATATATATGAGTGTAATCGACAACAAGGACAGTGGACTGTTGTTAAATAAAAGAGATAATTTAGAAAGGAGAATACACAAACACGAGATACATAACAAGACAACAGTAGCAATAAATTAATAATTGATAAAGTTATTTAAAATTCAAATTAAAAACCTAGAAAACACTTATCTAAAGAGACTGGTAAAGCTGTCGCCAACCAGGAGGCCCCTTCAATATATTTTTTTTTAATTTTTCGTATTCGTTGTTATAGAGGTAACAGAAATACACTATTTGTGATAATTTAAACGGTCTAACTATAACGGTTCGTGAGATATAATTTAGTAACAGACGGACGGACAGCGGAGTCTTAGTAATAGGGTCCTGTCTATCAACATAATTATGAGTAAAAGCTATTATAAAGTTGATGATTATTTTCAGGACCGCAATGCATGGAATTAATAGCCTTTGCTTTGTTCTATAACGACTAATCCTATTAATATTATAAATGTGAAAGTTTCTTTGTTTGGATGTTTAGATGTTTGGATGTTTGGATGTTTGTACGTCAATCACGCCGAAACTAATGAACGGATTTTGATGAAATTGGGTATACAGATAGGGTATTACCTGACTTAGATAATAGGATACTTTTTATCCCACCAAAAGGTTCCCTAGGGATAAAAGTACCTCCAACGGCGCCTATTTTTGTGAACGCTGCCTAAACGGTATGAGATATACTAATGCTTTCTAAGGAAAAGTTGGAGAGCCTTAAATTAGCTATAAAAAAGTCCGCGATGTCATATATCTATATGCAAGGGTTTTGCCACAAAAATAAAAAGAACTTTATATAAGTCTATTTAAATTTTTCGTCCATCTTTAAACGTTTATTTGAGTAGGTGATATTAAATCCTTATCGAAATAAATATGTTTATCGTCGAAGAAATTTAATATACATGAAAATTGTCTTTTACACCATGTAGATTGGATAAGTAGCTTAGATTTTAATACGATGTTTTTGAGAAAATAAAACAACGTATATTGCCGATTTTCTAAACACTATTTTATGTACATGTATTAAGATAAAACAGCATTTTTAATGTAATCAGTAATATTAAGCCCAACAAATGGCATTGCCTATATTCTACATTGTGATGTTGAATTGCCGCAACTACTTGGATATAGATGACTGTGACTCTGCGGTGCGATTCAATAATCTCTTCGTTGTAAGTGATTTCTGCGTTGTCAATTGGTTCTATTTGTCGATTTGGCTATTCTAACGGACTTGACTTGACATTTTGTGTGATTTTTTCTCAAATAACTTCTATATTTTCTATCTATTTAGCAATTCTCTAACTTTACATATTTATATTAAGATCTGTATCTAGCTTTCTAAATCTACTTCTCAATTAACTCTTTGTTTATTTCTTGGGTCTACCTCTGAATCTTGCAAGTCAAGAAAACCCAACGTGCAACATTAGCAAAAGCAGCGACCGCGGTGTCCTTTTGCAACAATGTAAATTAATCGTGTAGGACGAGTGCACAATGTCGCACAAGCGCGTGGTTGAGGCTTTGAACCTGATGGGAGGTGCTGTTGTTGTACTCAACGGAGATTTTCGGCAAACTCTTCCAGTTATTGAAAAGGGTACACCGGCAGATGAAATGAACGCGTGTCTCAAGGCTTCGTCATTTTGGTCCAACGTAGAAAAACTCCACCTTACTCGGAATATGCGTGCACAACCTTACAATGATACAGAATCAGGTGCGTTTGCGAGTAAGCTGCTCGAGATCGGAGATGGTAGGCTGAAAGCCGATCCGGACGGCAAAATCATTTTCACCAATGAATTTTGTGCTACCAAGGAAGAACTACTCGCCGATGTATTTATTTCCCGATTTAAAAAACAAATTAAATAATGAGGAGTGGTTGTGTGAGAAAGCAGTACTGTCGCCAAAAAATGAATTAGTGAATAAAATAAACAACAAGGTATTAGATGTAGTAGATGGCGCATCGAGGGTGTACACGGCAAGCGATGACAGCACTGCGTATCCCGTGGAATTTCTCAACTCATTAGAATTGACCTGTTACCGCCCCACAAGCTGGAGCTGAAGGTTGGCGTCCCAGTTTATGCGTAATCTTGACGCTCCGCGATTGTGCAACGGCACAAGATTACAAATCAGCGAATTGGGAAGAAACATTCTGCGAGCAACAATACTTACGGGAGCAGCTAAAGGCGAGAGCGTGTTGATTCCCCGCATACCCATTATACCCCACAATTTGCCATTCCAGTTCAAAAGGCTGCAGTTCCCATTGAAATTGGCATTTGCTATGACCATCAATAAGTCCCAGGGGCGAACCCTAAAAGTGGCCGGCATACATTTGGGCATTCCCTGCTTTACCCATGGCCAGCTCTATGTGGCATGTTCTCGAGTGTCAAGTGCAAGGAACCTGTATGTACTTGCTGCGAATAATAGATCATACAACATCGTATATCCTATTAATATTATAAAGGCGAAAGTTTGTAAGTATGGATGTATGGATGTTTGTTACTCTTTCACGAAAAAACTACTGGACGGATTTGGATAAAACTTTACAGCAATATAGGTTATACATCAGAATAACACATAGGGTACTTTTTACTGGGAAAACTTCTCACTCCCACGGGATACCGACTTCCACGCGGACGAAGTCGCGGGCGTCCACTAGTAGATCAATATTATAAGATAATCATAATCTTGATTATTATTATCAAAATCTGTTCAGTGGTTGCAGCGTGATTGACTAGCAAACATGAAATTGTTAATGAAAAAAAAATAGAAGTTAGTTAGGTCAGATTTACTTTACTCTGGATATACCTACAGAATTATTTAAATTATTTTTTATATCACTAAACATTTCCTTAGGAACCACGCGGGCGAAGCCGCTGGCGAAAGCTAGTTGTATATAAAAAAATATGTCCTACAGACATTGAAAATTGTATTTATTATTGTTATAATCTATGTATACGTATATATATAACTCAAAGGTGACTGACTGACATAGTGATCTATCAACGCACAGCCCAAACCATTGGACGGATCGTGCTCAAATTTGGCATGCAGGTAGATGTTAGGACGTAGGCATCCGCTAAGAAAGGATTTTGATCAATTCTACCCCCAAGGGGATGAAATAGGGGATGAAAGTTTGTATGAAACTGTCAATTTTAAACCGATCGGGCTGAGATTTGGCATGCATAAAGCTACTATGACGTAGGCATCCCCTAAGAAAAGATTTTGATAAATTCCACCCGTAAGGGGATAAAGTAGGGGATGGAACTTTATTTCAGGTATTTTACACGATGTAATGAATAAATTCGTTACAAATGCTGCTCAAAGTAACTTAACGTTACGTTCTGTAAAATATTACCAGTAGAAGATAAAGTAAAATATATGATATCAATAGAAAATTATTATAGTGACAAATTTAAAGTTAAAGTTAAAAATAGATATAATACAAAAAAGACTAGAGAAAATAAGTTTGTTAAACCGTTTATAATCAATTACTATGGTAAAAGATGTTCAAAGTATGTCGTTCCGGAATTGTGTAATAAAATAAGCTTGTTAAGAGAAGATAAAAAGTTATGTAAACCTATTATTAAAAGAAAATTAAAAGATGTTTTACTGAATAACCAGTTAACAGTATAGTAAATGTAATGTTATTTTAAGTCCCTAATTGGTATTTTCTATCTTTGCAAATGTTTGTAGTAGTGGGTAGATATATACATGTAGATGAAAATGAGTGCTAATCTTCGCCAACAAACTGCTGTGCAGTTTGGCGAAAATAATAAATGTACCTTCTGTAATGTTTTTAATACATAAATAAATAAAAAATAAATAAAAATAAACCACGCGGACGAAGTCGCGGGCATAAGCTAGTACGTAATATTATGGTAATGACATGAATTATGTAGATGTCATTGCTTATGATAAAGAGCTGGTAAGTTTCTTTCGCTTGTTCTTCTTGTCAGTTAAAAGAAGTCCTGAATGAGCGGTGGGGGGAACAATTTGGACTTGGTGAATAGCAAATATGTGTTATTTTGGATCTTTTTAACTCTAGTCGTGAGTCAATAAAGTCCAAGATGTCGAAAATGTTTTTTGAAAGTACAAGCGAGCAACTATCCGAGAAATAAGGGCAAAAGAAGAAATGTATTATTTGCGTGTGTCCTTTGTGTCATATGTGTCAAGTCATACGCTCACAACTACCGAGTGAACTCACAA